AAATTTTTTAGGTCACTGAATGTGGGTGCCAGCGCCCTACAAGCAAACAAAAAATCAAATCAATGCGACAACTGGCATTACAGCTGGGTCATGTTATAGAGAGGTACATTGAAATTCAAAGGTCAGCACAAATGGTCAAAATCCGACATTTTCTCACCTTCCTGCCCGTTCACAGCTCAGAAAATGACAATGACCAGCCTCATCTCGTTGTGCAGCTGGACATAGACAAGTGCACCAAGAAAAAGAGCCACATTTCTCTAAAGAACTTGCCCAGGGCTGCTGAAAGCTGAAAAATAACCAATCTCACAGTTTGGGGCTTTTTACCCGTGAATCTTCACTTTGCGACTAAACTATTCACAGCAGTGCCAAATTTTTTGGGTCACTGAATGTGGGTGCCAGCGCCCTACAAGCAAACCAAAAATCAAATCAATGTGACCACTGACATTACAGCTGGGTCATGTTATAGAGAGGTACATTGAAATTCAAAGGTCAGCACAAATGGTCAAAATCCGACATTTTCTCACCTTCCTGCCCGTTCACAGCTCAGAAAATGACAATGACCAGCCTCATCTCGCTGTGCAGCTGGACAGAGACAAGTGAACCAAGAAAAAGACCCACATTTCTCTAAAGAACTTGCCCAGGGCTGCTGAAAGCTGAAAAATAACCAATCTCACACTTTGGGGCTTTTTACCCGTGAATCTTCACTTTGCGACTAAACTATTCACAGCAGTGCCACATTTTCTGGGTCACTGAATGTGGGTGCCAGCGCCCTACAAGCAAACCAAAAATCAAATCAATGCGACCACTGACATTACAGCTGGGTCATGTTATAGAGAGGTACATTGAAATTCAAAGGTCAGCACAAATGGTCAAAATCCGACATTTTCTCACCTTCCTGCCCGTTCACAGCTCAGAAAATGACAATGACCAGCCTCATCTGGTTGTGCAGCTGGACATAGACAAGTGCACCAAGAAAAAGAGCCACATTTCTCTAAAGAACTTGCCCAGGGCTGCTGAAAGCTGAAAAATAACCAATCTCACACTTTGGGGCTTTTTACCCGTGAATCTTCACTTTGCGACTAAACTATTCCCAGCAGTGCCACATTTTCTGGGTCACTGAATGTGGGTGCCAGCGCCCTACACGCAAACCAAAAATCAAATCAATGCGACCACTGACATTACAGCTGGGTCATGTTATAGAGAGGTACATTGAAATTCAAAGGTCAGCACAAATGGTCAAAATCCGACATTTTCTCACCTTCCTGCCCGTTCACAGCTCAGAAAATGACAATGACCAGCCTCATCTGGTTGTGCAGCTGGACATAGACAAGTGAACCAAGAAAAAGAGCCACATTTCTCTAAAGAACTTGCCCAGGGCTGCTGAAAGCTGAAAAATAACCAATCTCACACTTTGGGGCTTTTTACCCGTGAATCTTCACTTTGCGACTAAACTATTCACAGCAGTGCCACATTTTCTGGGTCACTGAATGTGGGTGCCAGCGCCCTACAAGCAAACCAAAAATCAAATCAATGCGACCACTGACATTACAGCTGGGTCATGTTATAGAGAGGTACATTGAAATTCAAAGGTCAGCACAAATGGTCAAAATCCGACATTTTCTCACCTTCCTGCCCGTTTACAGCTCAGAAAATGACAATGACCAGCTTTATCTCGTTGTGCTGCTGGACATAGACAAGTGCACCAAGAAAAAGAGCCACATTTCTCTAAAGAACTTGCCCAGGGCTGCTGAAAGCTGAAAAATACCCAATCTCACACTTTGGGGCTTTTTACCCGTGAATCTTCACTTTGCGACTAAACTATTCACAGCAGTGCCAATTTTTTTGGGTCACTGAATGTGGGTGCCAGCGCCCTACAAGCAAACCAAAAATCAAATCAATGCGACTACTGACATTACAGCTGGGTCATGTTATAGAGAGGTACATTGAAATTCAAAGGACAGCACAAATGGTCAAAATCCGACATTTTCTCACCTTCCTGCCCGTTCACAGCTCAGAAAATGACAATGACCAGCCTCATCTCGTTGTGCAGCTGGACATAGACAAGTGAACCAAGAAAAAGAGCCACATTTCTCTAAAGAACTTGCCCAGGGCTGCTGAAAGCTGAAAAATAACCAATCTCACAGTTTGGGGCTTTTTACCCGTGAATCTTCACTTTGCGACTAAACTATTCACAGCAGTGCCACATTTTCTGGGTCACTGAATGTGGGTGCCAGCGCCCTACAAGCAAACCAAAAATTAAATCAATGCGACCACTGACATTACAGCTGGGTCATGTTATAGAGAGGTACATTGAAATTCAAAGGTCAGCACAAATGGTAAAAATCCGACATTTTCTCACCTTCCTGCCCGTTCACAGCTCAGAAAATGACAATAACCAGCCTCATCTCGTTGTTCAGCTTGACATAGACAAGTGCACAAAGAAAAAGAGCCACATTTCTCTAAAGAACTTGCCCAGGGCTGCTGAAAGCTGAAAAATAACCAATCTCACACTTTGGGGCTTTTTACCCGTGAATCTTCACTTTGCGACTTATCTATTCACAGCAGTGCCACATTTTCTGGGTCACTGAATGTGGGTGCCAGCGCCCTACAAGCAAACCAAAAATCAAATCAATGCGACCACTGACATTACAGCTGGGTCATGTTATAGAGAGGTACATTGAAATTCAAAGGTCAGCACAAATGGTCAAAATCCGACATTTTCTCACCTTCCTGCCCGTTCACAGCTCAGAAAATGACAATGACCAGCTTTATCTCGTTGTGCTGCTGGACATAGACAAGTGCACCAAGAAAAAGAGCCACATTTCTCTAAAGAACTTGCCCAGGGCTGCTGAAAGCTGAAAAATAACCAATCTCACACTTTGGGGCTTTTTACCCGTGAATCTTCACTTTGCGACTAAACTATTCACAGCAGTGCCAATTTTTTTGGGTCACTGAATGTGGGTGCCAGCGCCCTACAAGCAAACCAAAAATCAAATCAATGCGACAACTGACATTACAGCTGGGTCATGTTATAGAGAGGTACATTGAAATTCAAAGGACAGCACAAATGGTCAAAATCCGACATTTTCTCACCTTCCTGCCCGTTCACAGCTCAGAAAATAACAATGACCACCCTCATCTCGTTGTGCAGCTGGACATAGACAATTGAACCAAGAAAAAGAGCCACATTTCTCTAAAGAACTTGCCCAGGGCTGCTGAAAGCTGAAAAATGACCAATCTCACACTTTGGGGCTTTTTACCCGTGAATCTTCACTTTGCGACTAAACTATTCACAGCAGTGCCAATTTTTTGGGGTCACTGAATGTGGGTGCCAGCGCCCTACAAGCAAACCAAAAATCAAATCAATGCGACCACTGACATTACAGCTGGGTCATGTTATAGAGAGGTACATTGAAATTCAAAGGACAGCACAAATGGTCAAAATCCGACATTTTCTCACCTTCCTGCCCGTTCACAGCTCAGAAAATGACAATGACCAGCCTCATCTCGTTGTGCAGCTGGACATAGACAAGTGAACCAAGAAAAAGAGCCACATTTCTCTAAAGAACTTGCCCAGGGCTGCTGAAAGCTGAAAAATAACCAATCTCACACTTTGGGGCTTTTTACCCGTGAATCTTCCCTTTGCGACTAAACTATTCACAGCAGTGCCACATTTTCTGGGTCACTAAATGTGGATGCCAGCGCCCTACAAGCAAACCAAAAATCAAATCAATGCGACCACTGACATTACAGCTGGGTCATGTTATAGAGAGGTACATTGAAATTCAAAGGTCAGCACAAATGGTAAAAATCCGACATTTTCTCACCTTCCTGCCCGTTCACAGCTCAGAAAATGACAATAACCAGCCTCATCATTACCAGCAATTATATGACATCCCACAGAGTCCGAAATTCCGTAAAATATTTGCGCATTTACTGCAGAGAGTGATCTTGGAAGGAAGAAAATTGCTCTGAACTATGGCCATGATCGAAATGTAAGGCATCAAACCAGTGAACCACGCCAACAAGACAAACAGTTACACAACGAAAAAAACGAAAGTGAAAAACATTGAACAACCGATGCGATCTCAACTCCTAAGAATCATGATTTTCTTCTCCACTGAAAAGTATCTGTTACCTTGGTGATCTTGAGGAAATAGCAAGAATTGACCTTCTTCATGGTCATTTCTGAAGCTTCCTCCAAATATTGTCAGCCAACAAACCACAGCATTGTCACCTGGCTAGTCTGATCTCTGTCCTCAAGAAGGACCAGTTCCAAAAGATTGCAGGTCCAGTGCGCTTTCTAGCTTCAAAGATCTGGGAAATCGCCTCATTCTGCACATTTCAAGCAGTTTCTCAATTGTTTCTGGCTTGACATTGAACAGCAAGAAGATGAAAAGCACTTCTTTCTCAGTTTTTTCGAGTAAACTACCTCTCCAACCGCGTGGCTTTCTCTGAAGGCCATTTTGTAGGGGCTTTCCCATGGCCATGTGCTGGATGCATGCCATGTCGATGTACTGACATGACATGATGCATGCTGTCAAGTGTCATGTACAAGGACGTAGACTACTCAGTGACCACTGACTAGTACAGTCAGTACTCTGTACGACTCGTACGAGTCGTAGTCTAGACTAGAGTGACTGAGTCAGGGAGTCGAATTTTATGACTGCCTGTTGACAAATAGCAACTTGTTTGGTGTAAATTTCGTTTAGAGTGGCTGACAGCTTTGCCAGCTTGATACTTGGTTTCATTCTGCAGCTCACTGGTTTGAGAATATAGTGTTTTTTTGCGGCTTCTTCAACGGATATTGTGCACCATCATCAAGGTGGTTACCTATTTGTGATGCAGCTTCAACTAAAAGTACAACAACAAAAGCAACAGCCTACATTCAACAGCCACAGCCCATGACAACCAGAACAACAACAACAATAACACCAATTCTCGTTCCTCATATACTGGCACACACAGAGACATAGACAGCAATAGCGGCAACACACAAATTAAAGGGTAGTTGGCCGCAGCCAGATGTGACACTTGCGCAGCTAGTGGGGAAGCACTAGCCATCGGTATTCGGTATGAAAAGATAGAATCTTGCGGCCTACGTATATTGAATGCCTTGAAAAACGCGTCAACATGTTGAAGGTATGACCAGCATCAGCCAAGGACTGATGGTCAAAGCAAATACCAAAATACACTGCTATAATATTAAAACACACGATCCTTGAAGGGTGGTGGCGTTCCTACGGATGCGGAAAACTCGGCAAACCTATTAAAATGCACGGTTGTAGGCAGCGGTGTACAAGAATAAAAAGAAACGGAAAGAAATAACAAGGGTGCTTCAACGTTGACTGGGTTCGATCACTGAACACTAGACAAGAATGTTTGCAAAACAAAGGTAGAAGAACTGGTCAGCCTCAAATGCTACCTCAAGGACACACAGCGTATCCAAAAAGTAAAGAAAAAATGGAAAATGGTGAGCTGAAGGCGACTGTCGCCGACATCACTGAGCAGTGCGAATGGTATGGGCAGACAAAAACCAATAGGAGAAGACCTACACAGTACTGAAGGAGATGTCAAGCATGAATGCCAAACCTACAAGTGAACCTGAAGGAGAGGAGGATGTGGGTGATGCCATCTTGGCTACCCTGGCCAAAGATTTCTCTGAGCTACGGCAGCACATACCTGCACAGGAAAACCAGCAGAAGCATAACGGAGAGCCTCATCATATCGTTGGGAAACGGCAACAGCAGCGTAACATGAAGAAATAGAAAATGTGTGCTGAAGCTGCATTCTGGTTTACAAGAATGTTTGGGTCTCACTGCTAAATTACCTCGCACGCATGGCCTGTGTAATTGCTTTAGCCTTTTCTCTGCTCTTTCCGGTTGCACAGATGTTTAGCTTGTACAAGTGCTTTCACTTACTCCCACCCACTCTCACCTCTCTTTCCGGGTATATACGGATATCATTGCTTTTTCTTCTATCTTTCACACTAGTAATGTACTGCGTCCGGACTTCGCTAAAGCTTAGATAAATATTGATACCTAAATCTATAACTTGCACTGCTTCCAGGAATACAATGCTGGTGATGCTATGCTTTACCTCCATTAGCCGTCTGTGCCATTGTGCAGATTTGTATTCAGACAAATTAGTTTCATGCTACAATGCTTTCGTTGTGCTCAGCGGTAAGCTCATGGTTAATCAATGCCCTTTTCTGTGGAAGAGACAAACTGCCGGGCAGCACGATCCCCTCCTGTCATAGATCCAGAGGAGTCCTGCAGGAACGTACATAGACTACGGCGAATCATAGGCTTGATGGTAACCAGGTAGTGAGCCCGTGGACCTTGTCCATGTACGTTCATGGAAGCATCCCAACCTGGAGGAAAGAACTTCACAGGGAAATTCTTCGGTCCCAACCCCCTTTGTCCAGTTTCTGATTCGAAAGTCAGAAATAGACTATTTCATTTCAAGGAGGAAAACTTCCTTCTGCCAGCGGAGAGGGCTCGACACAATAATGTGGAGCACTATTACACATAAAACTCCATTGTGCCTTTTGTGACTATTTCACTTCTATTTTTCACTGCACAGCAGTGCAAGCTCCATCAGCAGCCTCAACTGTGACATTCGTCATCTGAGAAAGGGCCCAACATTCCCCGAACCATCAAAATATCTACAGCAAACAAAAGGGAGATTTTCAAATTCATGCAAGAATACATTCAATAAATTCACCCAAAATGAAATGAAATCACCTGATAGATCGTCACTGATATCTGATATCTTCATACTCCCAAGTTCATAGAGGATAAAGTCTCTCCATTTCACAAGGTACTGCACGCTGCCACCCTAAAGCAACAAAATTCACAGTGCAACAAACAGCTCAATTGTGTCGACCTCGCGACCTGATTTATTACAATAAAATAAACGTACCTTCTTTCCCACTGTCGATCCGGTAAGAAGCAGCGAAAACTTCGGGCCCCTAAGACTGCTTGAATTTTCTCCACAGCGGACTGCTGCTGAAAACATCAGCTTGGCGTAAAAACCAGGCTCATTCTGTCTATGAGATACCTAGCGTAAATGAGAGCCTTCTCGTCGCCAGCCACAACAATAACAACAACAAAAATCACCTCCACCGAAAAAGACATGCAGATCAGAGAGCTTGTTGTGTACAGCGTGAGTTCAAAAAAATCTTTTTTCATTGAGATCACAAAAAAAACTTCACACTCGATCGCGCGAGCTCAGCACCATACGTACCAGCAGTGACGTTTGGGTGGAAATATTTTATTTGAAAAACTTTTGTCAGGCGCGATGTCGCTGATTGCTGGTGATGTCTCGTTGTTCAGCTTGACATAGACAAGTGCACAAAGAAAAAGAGCCACATTTCTCTAAAGAACTTGCCCAGGGCTGCTGAAACCTGAAAAATTACCAATCTCACACTTTGGGGCTTTTTACCCGTGAATCTTCACTTTGCGACTAAACTATTCACAGCAGTGCCACATTTTCTGGGTCACTGAATGTGGGTGCCAGCGCCCTACAAGCAAACCAAAAATCAAATCAATGCGACCACTGACATTACAGCTGGGTCATGTTATAGAGAGGTACATTGAAATTCAAAGGTCAGCACAAATGGTCAAAATCCGACATTTTCTCACCTTCCTGCCCGTTCACAGCTCAGAAAATGACAATGACCGGCCTCATCTCGTTGTGCAGCTGGACATAGACAAGTGCACCAAGAAAAAGAGCCACATTTCTCTAAAGAACTTGCCCAGGGCTGCTGAAAGCTGAAAAATAACCAATCTCACAGTTTGGGGCTTTTTACCCGTGAATCTTCACTTTGCGACTAAACTATTCACAGCAGTGCCACATTTTCTGGGTCACTGAATGTGGGTGCCAGCGCCCTACAAGCAAACCAAAAATCAAATCAATGCGACCACTGACATTACAGGTGGGTCATGTTATAGAGAGGTACATTGAAATTCAAAGGTCAGCACAAATGGTCAAAATCCGACATTTTCTCACCTTCCTGCCCGTTCACAGCTCAGAAAATGACAATGACCAGCCTCATCTCGTTGTGCAGCTGGACATAGACAAGTGCACCAAGAAAAAGAGCCACATTTCTCTAAAGAACTTGCCCAGGGCTGCTGAAAGCTGAAAAATAACCAATCTCACACTTTGGGGCTTTTTACCCGTGAATCTTCACTTTGCGACTAAACTATTCACAGCAGTGCCACATTTTCTGGATCACTGAATGTGGGTGCCAGCGCCCTACAAGCAAACCAAAACTCAAATCAATGCGACCACTGACATTACAGCTGGGTCATGTTATAGAGAGGTACATTGAAATTCAAAGGTCAGCACAAATGGTCAAAATCCGACATTTTCTCACCTTCCTGCCCGTTCACAGCTCAGAAAATGACAATGACCAGCCTCATCTTGTTGTGCAGCTGGACATAGACAAGTGAACCAAGAAAAAGAGCCACATTTCTCTAAAGAACTTGCCCAGGGCTGCTGAAAGCTGAAAAATAACCAATCTCACAGTTTGGGGCTTTTTACCCGTGAATCTTCACTTTGCGACTAAACTATTCACAGCAGTGCCACATTTTCTGGGTCACTGAATGTGGGTGCCAGCGCCCTACAAGCAAACCAAAAATCAAATCAATGCGACCACTGACATTACAGCTGGGTTATGTTATAGAGAGGTACATTGAAATTCAAAGGTCAGCACAAATGGTCAAAATCCGACATTTTCTCACCTTCCTGCCCGTTCACAGCTCAGAAAATGACAATGACCAGCTTTATCTCGTTGTGCTGCTGGACATAGACAAGTGCACCAAGAAAAAGAGCCACATTTCTCTAAAGAACTTGCCCAGGGCTGCTGAAAGCTGAAAAATAACCAATCTCACACTTTGGGGCTTTTTACCCGTGAATCTTCACTTTGCGACTAAACTGTTCACAGCAGTGCCAATTTTTTTGGGTCACTGAATGTGGGTGCCAGCGCCCTACAAGCAAACCAAAAATCAAATCAATGCGACCACTGACATTACAGCTGGGTCATGTTATAGAGAGGTACATTGAAATTCAAAGGACAGCACAAATGGTCAAAATCCGACATTTTCTCACCTTCCTGCCCGTTCACAGCTCAGAAAATGACAATGACCAGCCTCATCTCGTTGTGCAGCTGGACATAGACAAGTGAACCAAGAAAAAGAGCCACATTTCTCTAAAGAACTTGCCCAGGGCTGCTGAAAGCTGAAAAATAACCAATCTCACAGTTTGGGGCTTTTTACCCGTGAATCTTCACTTTGCGACTAAACTATTCACAGCAGTGCCACATTTTCTGGGTCACTGAATGTGGGTGCCAGCGCCCTACAAGCAAACCAATCAATGCGACCACTGACATTACAGCTGGGTCATGTTATAGAGAGGTACATTGAAATTCAAAGATCAGCACAAATGGTAAAAATCCGACATTTTCTCACCTTCCTGCCCGTTCACAGCTCAGAAAATGACAATAACCAGCCTCATCTCGTTGTTCAGCTTGACATAGACAAGTGCACAAAGAAAAAGAGCCACATTTGTCTAAAGAACTTGCCCAGGGCTGCTGAAAGCTGAAAAATAACCAATCTCACACTTTGGGGCTTTTTACCCGTGAATCTTCACTTTGCGACTAAACTATTCACAGCAGTGCCACATTTTCTGGGTCACTGAATGTGGGTGCCAGCGCCTCACAAGCAAACCAAAAATCAAATCAATGCGACCACTGACATTACAGCTGGGTCATGTTATAGAGAGGTACATTGAAATTCAAAGGTCAGCACAAATGGTCAAAATCCGACATTTTCTCACCTTCCTGCCCGTTCACAGCTCAGAAAATGACAATGACCAGCCTCATCTTGTTGTGCAGCTGGACATAGACAAGTGAACCAAGAAAAAGAGCCACATTTCTCTAAAGAACTTGCCCAGGGCTGCTGAAAGCTGAAAAATAACCAATCTCACACTTTGGGGCTTTTTACCCGTGAATCTTCACTTTGCGACTAAACTATTCACAGCAGTGCCACATTTTCTGGGTCACTAAATGTGGATGCCAGCGCCCTACAAGCAAACCAAAAATCAAATCAATGCGACCACTGACATTACAGCTGGGTCATGTTATAGAGAGGTACATTGAAATTCAAAGGTCAGCACAAATGGTCAAAATCCGACATTTTCTCACCTTCCTGCCCGTTCACAGCTCAGAAAATGACAATGACCAGCCTCATCTTGTTGTGCAGCTGGACATAGACAAGTGAACCAAGAAAAAGAGCCACATTTCTCTAAAGAACTTGCCCAGGGCTGCTGAAAGCTGAAAAATAACCAATCTCACACTTTGGGGCTTTTTACCCGTGAATCTTCACTTTGCGACTAAACTATTCACAGCAGTGCCAATGTTTTTGGGTCACTGAATGTGGGTGCCAGCGCCCTACAAGCAAACCAAAAATCAAATCAATGCGACCACTGACATTACAGCTGGGTCATGTTATAGAGAGGTACATTGAAATTCAAAGGACAGCACAAATGGTCAAAATCCGACATTTTCTCACCTTCCTGCCCGTTCACAGCTCAGAAAATGACAATGACCAGCCTCATCTCGTTGTGCAGCTGGACATAGACAAGTGAACCAAGAAAAAGAGCCACATTTCTCTAAAGAACTTGCCCAGGGCTGCTGAAAGCTGAAAAATAACCAATCTCACAGTTTGGGGCTTTTTACCCGTGAATCTTCACTTTGCGACTAAACTATTCACAGCAGTGCCACATTTTCTGGGTCACTGAATGTGGGTGCCAGCGCCCTACAAGCAAACCAAAAATTAAATCAATGCGACCACTGACATTACAGCTGGGTCATGTTATAGAGAGGTACATTGAAATTCAAAGGTCAGCACAAATGGTAAAAATCCGACATTTTCTCACCTTCCTGCCCGTTCACAGCTCAGAAAATGACAATAACCAGCCTCATCTCGTTGTTCCGCTTGACATAGACAAGTGCACAAAGAAAAAGAGCCACATTTCTCTAAAGAACTTGCCCAGGGCTGCTGAAAGCTGAAAAATAACCAATCTCACAGTTTGGGGATTTTTACCCGTGAATCTTCACTTTGCGAGCAGTGCCACATTTTCTGGGTCACTGAATGTGGGTGCCAGCGCCCTACAAGCAAACCAAAAATCAAATCAATGCGACCACTGACATTACAGCTGGGTCATGTTATAGAGAGGTACATTGAAATTCAAAGGTCAGCACAAATGGTCAAAATCCGACATTTTCTCACCTTCCTGCCCGCTCACAGCTCAGAAAATGACAATGACCAGCCTCATCTCGTTGTGCAGCTGGACATAGACAAGTGCACCAAGAAAAAGAGCCACATTTCTCTAAAGAACTTGCCCAGGGCTGCTGAAAGCTGAAAAATAACCAATCTCACAGTTTGGGGCTTTTTACCCGTGAATCTTCACTTTGCGACTAAACTATTCACAGCAGTGCCACATTTTCTGGGTCACTAAATGTGGATGCCAGCGCCCTACAAGCAAACCAAAAATCAAATCAATGCGACCACTGACATTACAGGTGGGTCATGTTATAGAGAGGTACATTGAAATTCAAAGGTCAGCACAAATGGTCAAAATCCAACATTTTCTCACCTTCCTGCCCGTTCACAGCTCAGAAAATGACAATGACCAGCCTCATCTTGTTGTGCAGCTGGACATAGACAAGTGAACCAAGAAAAAGAGCCACATTTCTCTAAAGAACTTGCCCAGGGCTGCTGAAAGCTGAAAAATAACCAATCTCACAGTTTGGGGCTTTTTACCCGTGAATCTGCACTTTGCGACTAAACTATTCACAGCAGTGCCACATTTTCTGGGTCACTAAATGTGGATGCCAGCGCCCTACAAGCAAACCAAAAATCAAATCAATGCGACCACTGACATTACAGCTGGGTCATGTTATAGAGAGGTACATTGAAATTCAAAGGTCAGCACAAATGGTCAAAATCCGACATTTTCTCACCTTCCTGCCCGTTCACAGCTCAGAAAATGACAATGACCAGCCTCATCTTGTTTTGCAGCTGGACATAGACAAGTGCACCAAGAAAAAGAGCCACATTTCTCTAAAGAACTTGCCCAGGGCTGCTGAAAGCTGAAAAATAACCAATCTCACAGTTTGGGGCTTTTTACCCGTGAATCTTCAGTTTGCGACTAAACTAT